GGGTTGGCGGTTCAAACCCACTCCTATACAGGATCACTATGAGTCAGAACTGACTCAACTGAACTTAACAGCAACATTACAGATTTTAGAACCTTTCCACATTCACAAGGGGGCTTCAAAAATTTTGTGGGCAAGTTCCATTATGTTTTAACTCAATGTTTCCATGAACTTTTTGAAGGCCCCTTGTATTATTGTATCACAGCCTGACAACCCTATGGTACCTGTGTTATCCATGTTTTATTGATGAGGAAATGAGACTCAAAGAGATGAGTCACTGAAATAGAAAATAGAAAAATAAACAATATAACGAGGGTGAAAGTGCATGAGGACAAAGTTACCAGTTAAATGTAGTCCCATTACCAGTTTAGGAAGGTGTCCTGGTTGTGCAACAGTTAAGCACTTGGGCTGCTAACCTAACTGAACTCCGTAAAGTTTGCAAAGTTTGCTCCTGTAAAGGTTACAGCCTGGAAACCCCTCCCACCCCATGGAGTTTAGTTCTGCTCTACCTCATGGGGTCACTGAGTCAGAATCAACCCAATAGCATCAAGCAACACCACCACCACTCTAAGATTTAAAAGACCTCATGCCAAGGTAAGGTAGCAAGAGTTGTGTTTATTTCATGATTCTCAACTGGACAGGATTATTTCATGACTGGTCTGTGTTCTATGTAGTCATGTATGTACTGTCTCTCACCTCCATGCCCACAGGCTATATTTATCCTCATCGACAGCTTTCACTGGAACAGGTCTGGCTTAGGGTATGGGAAAGGGCTGCCACTGCCCGGTTACTCTGCCATTCACTGGATGGTGAATTGACTCAGGGAGTCCCAGTAGACAGTGGCCTCTGGTTCAAGCAGAGTTTGTTATTCTAACACTGATAGTGATCTCTGTTTACCCTCTATTTTTCAGTTGGTTCAGAAGGCAGTGGAGAAATGGTGTGATTAACACCCTCACAACTCAAGTGCTAGCCCCAAACTAAAAATTGGCCTTTTCCTTTATAAGATTTAGAAATAAGTGCTTCAATTTCAGTCTGATGAAAACAAAATTCACTGTTTCTCCCCTATCCTATTGCTTCTATATTCCCAATTGGTACCAATCCTAATCTCATCACCACAAAAATAAATCTTGGTCATTCCCTAATTTCCATTCTTTCTCATCTTTATAGTTATCAGTTGCCACAATACTCTCTTTCCCTATCTCTAAATACCTATAATGAGTCCCCCGTACTCTAGATTTCATTGTGTTGTCTTAGTTAAAGACCTCAAACTGAATACACAACCAATCTCTCTTTACTCTCCACAGTGCTAATTTTTCCTTTTCTCTCCCCAAACAACTGACATTACCTTCCTGCTTAAAATCCACGAACCCCTGTCTAGACGAAAACACCCAATTCCTTAGGATACTATTCTAACTCGGTCATATTCTAGTTCCAGTTTAGTCCATTCAAACAGCTCTTACAACTTTCTACCAGACATACAACACTGCAGTTATCCTGAATTTCTTCGTTGTTGTTTTTGTTAGGTGCTGTGGAGTTGGTTCCGACTCATAGCGACCCCTCTACAAGGTTTCTGAGGCTGTAAATCATTATGGGAGCAGAAAGCCTCATCTTTCTCCCACGTAACAGCTGGTGGTTTCGAACTGCTGACTCTGAGGTTAGCAGCCCAATTCATAACCACTGTGCTACTAGAGCTCCTTGAATTCTTGTTATCACCATAATAACAACATGGGTTTTCTAGCCCTGTGTCTTGTCTAGCAAATATGTAAAGACCATACTTCAATGTCATCTTCTCTTTAAAAGCGTTCTTAACCATCGAGACACCCCATCCATACCTTGCTTGTTAAAACTGTGTTAATTGTAATAAGGCCTTCACCTTTCTCCCTCTAACTCTGAACTTTGTAAATGCCTTTGATTCCTGGATGTTTTATAGAATAAGCTATGTCTTTATTGATAAGTGTCATTTGGGATATGAAAAAAGAAAAGGACTTAGAAGCTTTAAAAACAGTCTCAGTAGAAAGGATGGGTCATGGCAACAAATAGCCCCATACTCTTACAGGCCAGAATCATCCTACTCCAAGAGTGAAGCAAAAGTCTTCACTTTTTCACTGCAGAAGAAGCTTCTTAAATTTTTGTAACAACACCTGAATGTGTATGTAGGATTTATTTCATGCATTGCACATCATGGAAAAAAAAAATAGAATAAATGTCCATTTATAGCTCAGTTTTTTTTTTTATTTTTACTTTCATATGAATGAAAAGACATGAATTCTATTTAACAATTAGGTGTTTAGGTATGGGCAAAGTAATGACAGTTATTCTTTGAGCAACAGGATGTTTTAAAGTGATACCACATGTATACTGTTTAGATTTTATTAACTAGGCACTTCTTAAAATTATATTGAATGTATTCTGAAAACAATGCTGAGCAACATTTGTGACTGTTTTATTCTTGTGATAAAGCAGATGGACACTTATTACACCTTGGTTTTTAAAAGATTGAACCATAATTATTTTAAGATTATACTGTATATTTGAATATTTAAAAGACCATAGTTATAGTGTTTATTGTTCAGCATAAAATTGTACCCAATTGAAATGCACATTTTCTAGAAAACTTCAAACAATAGTGTACTAATATTAGAAGCAAACTAACCATCTGCACAACTGAGTAGGTGCCATAGGCATGGTTTCTAACTTTGGATATGGCTCATTAAGCAAGTGTTCAAATGCTAATACCCACTGTTTCACATTATCTAGAGCCAACAGTGAAATAGACACTGAAACAAACAATAAAAGAAAATGTTTCAGGAGTCAAACCAACGTCTAAATATGAAGGATTTGGTTTTATTTTTTCCTTCTAAATTCCAAGTGAACAGATTCCACAGATTCCATCTCGTTTTGACTTGTGAACTGAAACTGATGTGAAGCAGAACTAAGGTCTTAGCGCTACTGCTTACGTGCCGTGTGAAGCCCCTGACATTTGTTGTTGATCTTCCTAAGGTGACCAACCTTGATGCCTAAGGAAAAAAAAAAAAAATTATATATTGTTGTTATCAAAAATAAATTGTTGGAGTGATATGTAGGAACTCTAGAGAATTAGCCAATTTAGCATTTTTATGCTTGTTCAAAATGTTTATGAAATATCCCTTGTAGAAAAGTTTTATAACACACTCAAGTCCCTTCCAATGAAATCTCTATAGAGTGTCATCATCCTTCAGGTGCCATTGTGTTGATTTCACCGTATAGCAAGCCTGTGTGATAGATTAGAGCTGCCTATAGTGGAGTCCTGGTGTGGTGCTGCAGGTTAATGGCGCTGGACTGCAAAGTCGGTTTGAACCACAAGGTCGGCAGTTCAAGCTCACCAGTCACTCCTTGGAAACCCTATACAAGGTCACTATGGATCAGAACCGACTCAAAGGCACTTAACAACAACAACAACATAGGGTTTTCTAAGGAGCCCTGTGATGCAGCAGGACGCTAAATGCTTAGCTGCTAAGTGAAAGGCTAATGGCTCCAACCACCCAGTGCCTATGTGTTGTGGACCATGTAAGACTGGTCAGAGGTTCGAGGCCCTATAGGCCCGAGT